AACTTCCCGACAAAGCCAATTTCCCGACAAAGCCAACTTCCTGACAACCCAACTTCTCGACAAAGCCAACTTCCCGACAAAAGCCAATTTTCATGAAGATCCGTTGTCTTCTTGTAGCCCACAGAAAGTATCGCCATATTTATCAAGTTTTCTCCCTTTTTTGATAATAAGCGTCACTTTGTTTGCTTCGTCAACACTATAATTTTGTTAAGTTAAAAAATGGTGTCCACCTATACGCAGCTTCACGAAATTGAAAAAGGGGAAGATTTTGGCATACATGGATACCACAAATACCGCTCAAATCGCAAAAATATTCGGACGCAGCCCTACAACGGTACGCTGCTTTATAAACAAATATAAACGAACTGGAAAAAGTGAAGCTCGCGAAAAACGACGTACTATACGAAATAGTCAACAATTTAGGTCTCACTTGTAGTTTATCAATCGCATAAATATTTTTTCTTTTGCAAAAGTTCTTAAAAATTCATGCTCTGTGCTTTAATGACCTGCGAAACCTGTACTAAATTATGATTTATAATTTAGATAATTGCTAAAATTGTATATATAGGATAACTCTCAAAGATCTGAAGGGCGGACAATGTGTGGTTTGAAGAAAATAAACCTAATAAGAATTATTTTTAATCTAACGAAATTGATAGCTTTATTTCTTTTGCTTAACAAAATTGAAAATTTTACCTCTTTTGGCATAAAAATTTTATGCATATTATTTGAGTTTGGATTGTGATTTTATGATTTGTTTGAAATAATATTAAATTCTACCATTATGAGTACTGTAAATCATTCTTCTAGGCCTCTACCTTTGTTACACCTTAGTTCTTTAATCAATCTAATTTTTGAGTGTAACAATACAGCGGACAACGTTTCAAAGTAGTTTATCAACCTAAATCAGAATATAAAGGCAAAAACGGAAAGTTGAATTGCAACAACCAAAAGAAACGGCGAATATTTTTCTTGTGACGATTGTAAGATTCCAAATTTATAAATTTTTATGTTTATCAAGACAATAAAAGGCGACTTGCAGGATATGAATGAGATGAAGGATGTTGGTAACGTTGTCGACTAGCAGTTCGTCTATATACTAGTACATGTGCTTGCTATGAATTTTTTTAATTAAAACAAATAAAATGGAATGGTCATCATAAAGGTCCAGAAGTAGACTTTACAGGTAAAAAATTTTTATTTCTATCTGCTTGAGTTACATTGCCAGATACGGTTATTAACTACATATAAAATTTTTATAATCAATTTTTTTCATCTCGCTAAATCGCCTCAAAACGCGAATTTTCATGCTCCTCACCAACCGAAGAAAAGGTCGCTCATACCCATCCTCTGACGAATTATCATTTGAAACTCATTGTCGAAATTTTTAACCTTTAATCAAACATAAATTTTAGTATTTGTCTCAGATTTTCGATGTGTTTTATATCCAGAAACATAAGGAATTATACATTAATTTAAATTGGTACTTTTTTGTGCAACTGATCTTTATGATGACCATTGTAATAAAGAATATAAGAGAAATAATGTGAAATACGCGTGAGCAATAGCACCTCCCTGAATGTATGTTCCGAATGAAGGTAATTTTATATTTTATCAATTACTTTAATTTATTAATCTCTTTTTTTTCTTTGGTGATAAAACAGATTTTGAGGCCAAGTGACTTGCAAGGAAACCTAACGTTTAACTGATTTTACGCAAAACGATAATCAAAAGTCTTTGTTTTTATGTGTGAAAATTCGAAGTTTTTTGGAGGATATCGATAATAGATAGTTTTCCGTCTGGTTTTTACAGGTTGCAAGTCTCTACAAGAATTCGCGAGTTACTACATACAAAGTATGAATTGTTGTAAGAATTTCTATAAAAGGTCATGACTGTGCTTCAAATAATAATTACAATCATAAGTATTACGTAAACACGAAATATGAATTTTGGTAAAATTTCCATGGTTTAAGAGGATTACGTACAATTCGAATATTTGCAATAATTCCTACAATAATTACATTATAGGGAAGAATTTTCGTGTTATTGGGAAGGCATGTTGATGTTGATATCACAAAGTAAGAATTTTTGTAAGAATAGGTAGAATTTCGTGGAATTTAATAATTTCTAATCTTATGACAAACGCTCTTTGATATGTCGTAGTGTCTTGAGTTGCAGGTTAGAAAATGTAAAACACTACCATAAGTTTACAAGTGATATATATATTGAAACTGCGCTTAATTTACCGATAACTATCGATTTTATGTTATAACGAGGCCCCGAACTTATTATTCAGTAAATCAAGGTTGATCTAGAGTTGTTTAGTTTATCAAATACAATCTCGTTGATAGATCAGTGTCTATCGCTGTCTTCAAAAGTTTTACGTAAAACCATACTAAAAAATAGAGTGTTTAATATAATATTCATACAAACATAAATATATGTACATCATACATGGGACCTCAAAAAATCAGTCTAATGCTAAATTAAAATTAGGTTAATCGAATGACAATTGTAATTCCTCTCATATTCCTAAAGTTATGTCAAAAATGATATTATAACTCCCACTTTATATGTTAACGCAAAATATGTTTTTTATTTTTTCGATAATTTTTCTGTTTAGTAATATTTTATGTAAAAATGTAGTTGCGCGCATCTCAGTAATTTGCTATATTCGAAAGTTAAGATTTCTTTTTATTAAGTTACATAATATAGTCAGTAATAATATAAAATGATATTATTAACCTCATTTTTCGTTCTGTTGTTTACATTATCGTTATATATGGATTAAGCTTAGTACTGTTGCCGTACCGTAGAACATAAAATGCCGGAATTGCTTGGAATTGTGTGTAGTTCCCGAGTTGGTAATGATAATTGTTAGCACATGTACATGAAGCAGATCCCGTACAACTTACTACATGTATCGGTATAGAAAAATCTCACTTCGAAACATCAGTAAAATATCACTTTGAAACCCATACGAAACTCTCACCTTGTGATATCAAACATCAGCACTGCCGTCCCAATAATGTTAGTATCAAAATTATTGGCTTACGACCTCAAAGAATGTGAACTATTAAACATTCGTATCATTCATTATTTCTTTAGTCATAGAAAACATTTATATCAACATTTACCTTTTATCATAGTTAGACTTCGTTAATTAAATAATTCCTTGTTTCGAAGTGTAGCCAAGCCCTTTTTTGTGAGGATTCCTAAATCATTCCTAGTCTGTACTTCGGATCCGTGAAACTGCGTATCAAATTAATGTGATCCCTAAAAATTGTATTTAAAGCGTAGTTGTCCGAAGGTTAGAGAATTAAACAATGGGCTGTTTGAATAAAATTAAATATTAAATTTACTTTGGAACGCACCTAACTACGCTTCGGCCCTGATTTCTTTCGTGCCATAACGAAATTGATAGCTTTTATATCTTTTGTGCTTAACAAAATTGATGGCTTTGCTTCTTTTGCCTTAAAGATTGTGTGTTTTCTTTGATCAGTTTATAAGTCCAACGTTTGTTTTGTGTTTGTAGTGATCAGAAATTACCCATATTCCTGTGGAATCCGTGAATATCTTTTAGTTTTGTCCCAAATGTCCCTTTCCAAACACCTTTTATCGCACCCTCTTTTATATCAAATGATAGTTTTCGTAAAAACTATCACAGGCGACCTTTTAGAACAATTAGAGAAACTCTCATTGTAAATCATTTAGTCCAAGTTCCTCCCACCATCATGTTACGTTCTATTTCCTTTAGATCTAACATCCTTAGGAAGTAGCGTAACAGTACATTATATAAAAATCAACCCTTTCTATAAAAAAACCATTATTTTCTCCCTCTTTCGAACAAATAGCGTTTTGATTTATTACTGTAAAGTCCCAATTAAAAGCAACATTTGAAAATTTTATTCCTTTAATTCATGATTTTATATATTGGTATCATTATAGAAAATACAATATTTATGATGCTATTTCTATGAATTATCATTAAATTGAGCCTGGTTGTATTATATAATGTTAAAAATAAAATATACGAAACACATAATTAAAAACAAAATTATCAAAAAAAAATTACTAATTAAATCTATTGTATGTATTCTTGACTTTGATAGAAAAATCCTACAAGGATGCGTCACATCATCTCAATAGATTGAATATCAATAATTGTTATAGCAGTGAAGATATTGTAGAATCAATATTAAAGTTGGTGTTGGAAGTTTTTTGAATTAAAAATAGTTTTATTGCTAACGCTAATGGCTCCGACATAATGTGTCATTAACGATCCCTGTTGATAAATATAGTATCGTCGTTGATGATAGAAAGGAGAGTTGGAGAATTAACGTGGAACATAAAAGGAAGCGCATTGATAGTAGTATCAATATTACCAGTGTAGTCAATAAAGAAGGTTGATCGTAGAAGGTAGAGTTGTTGAATTAACATTGAGCATAGAAGGAAGAGTATTAGTATCTCTTTAGATAGGAAAAACTCACAAAAATATATAAAACAAATGGCTCTCAGACCTTTGAATGAAAAAATAGAAATAAAATTATGTACAAAACCTTTTCTCCAAATGAAAACTTGTAAAAAATCTTGCAAAGAATTATAATTCTGAATGTGTTAGTTAGGTTCTTTCTACCAGAAAAGATGATAATTCGGTTAGGTCCTTTAGTTCAGAAAGGTGAAATGCATCATTTATTGATTGAATTGATTGATCCAAGTTTAAGGCTTTTAGCTAGAAAAAGCATATGGCTAAAAGAATAGATTAGTTAATAATTAATAAATGAAAATTCACTTTACCCCTCCCCACTCATCCCTGGAAATTCTCATATCGAATGATATCCGTGAATATCAGCACAGGATTTAGACCAACTGTCTAATCACCTTCTCCAACCCGCAGTCACGATTCACAAATTTCCTCAAATCCACGCAACTCCAACCCACCTGTGACCGTATCAAGAAAGCCAAGTCGGTTAATGTGTTAACTGCCACACATGATTTGACTAGCCACATCCTATATCTGGGGCTCGTCTTTTACCAATCATGGATCGCGATCGGGTGACGAACCGTGAAAACTGCACCACTCTAGCCAATCCCAGGAAACTCAAAGGAATATCAAAAGCAGAAGAAATTGATTGAGTATTTGCAGGAGGAGGAGGCGAAGGATAAAAAGTGGTATTTGAAGTGGTTACTTTAAAAAAAAATTAAATTTATATTAATAAAATATTAGATATTTAAATAAGAACAAAATATAATTATACCCGTTATACTTTTATTATTCATTAACAAGTTAATTAAAAGCTTTTGTTCGTCTTCATCCCGATTTGTTTCTTTCAGCTTTTGCTATTTCTTTTCTTCTTTTCTTTCAAGATCTCATTCAATTTTACGTGCAAAAGTTTCTTCTAATATGCGTATACATTTATATATATCGGGTAATTTTTTTCTTGGTAATATGTTGTTCATCCAAAGAATTATTTTCATCTGAATTAACTTTTTTTGTATTTTCTTTCTGGTGTATTGAATATTTTCAGAAGTATTAGTTGAAGTTGAAGAGGATGATATTATTACAACAGGTTTAAATGTTGCTCGTTCTTCATTTATAAGTTCAGTACGAAATGGAATAAACTATTGCTACACCACCACTTTGATTTTCTGCATCTTTTCCACTCTAAATTATATAAGATAAAAATAACAATAACTATGTACCTTATCTTTTACGACAAGTTTATGTATTTGATAAAGTATTGTTGAGCCATATAATTGGAGGTTATATTTAGAAACTAAATGTACATTCTTGCCCAAAGTGGTCCATTACCATTAATCCTTCCACGTTCTTTTTTAAAGAATCAAGAGCTTCTTTCGCGTATCTAAAAATGCTAAAAAGTGCTTTAATGGCACTTGTTCCCACTTTTTACTGGTAAACGAACAGATTGTGAAGAGTAGAGCTATAAGAGTACATGCTGAAATCACTTTTGATTCGTATTAAGATCGATTATCTGTAGTTTTTTTTGCAAGCCACTCGACACATCCTCGTTCTTTTCAATTTCATATGGTATAATATCTTCAAAACCTATTTTTATCACAAAAGAAGATAATGAATTAAAAGAAATTATCAAAATTTAAGTTTACCTTCGCTTGGAACATACAAATTGACACTTTTAGAATCTAAATAATGCATATATTTAAAATCAATCGGAAAAGTCATTTTGATTGAATATAATGATAAATTTACGTACCTATATCATTTGGAATTGATTCATGTATAGATTTTGAAGCAAAGATGACACTTGTAGAATCTAAATAGTTGATATTTTTACAGTATAAATCAATCTGAAATTTCATTTTGATTGAATATAAAATAAATTTACGTACCTATATCAGTTGGAATTGATATTGATTTTGAAGTAAAATTTCGATTGGTATAAATTGCATTTGAATGGATTTTTTGTTTTTTGTTTATAATACTACGAGTGTCTTTTATCTTCTTTTTTTCTAATTTAATACACTCTTTAATTTTTTCATCTGTTTGAGAACTGTAATAGTGAGAATGTAAAGAATTTATTTCTAATTTTTGTCATAATAGATAGATCCGATAAAGTCTTCAAGTTCCTCAGCAGTTGGTCTGTTTTCTGAAATAGGATCCCAACATTTTTCAATAATAAATTTGCACCATCCGGGAATTTCATTTGATATCGTAGGTCGTATTCCGTTAATGATGTCCATTAAGAGATCAGGATCGTGGCTTCGCTCACCGAATGGTCTTTCATCTGTTACAATCTCGTACATGATCCTCCCAAAGCTGTAAATATCTGCAGCTTTAGTGTAGGGCTTTCCATTTAAAATCTCTGCACTCATATAAGGAAGTACTCCATAAATATTTTGTTCAGATTTTTTAATGACTGCTTGACCAGTGAGTCCAAAATCTGAAATGAAAGCAATTTACATGTAATAATATATTTCCAGGATGGAAGTCACGATGCATAAACCCCATATTATGGTTTTTGCGCAGATCACTGATAATATCGATATTACTCTGAAGATATTTATGAAGATCGCCACCTCATTACTATCGAATGTTCATCCGTAGTTGGGTTTTTAGTAATTCCATAATATTTTATTCCATATAACCAGTGATACTGTGCAATCCGAATCATTAGTAAATTCTATTGTGATTTGCTTTAAAGCGATCCTTGAACTTTCATGCATTCTTCTATCAGATAGTCGACAGCTTTTTTCCCACTAGATCATTTAGCTTTCTAAAATTGATAATGTGAATCTAAACATTCTTTGCTAATTGTTCTTCTGACACAAGCGCATTCATGGCAGTGAAGAGCTTTCACATACTTATCATTGCATAATCCATCACTCCGTACAATCCTTCAATGACACGATATTCCGTATCTCGTCAATTTTTTCCCGTGTTCCATTTATTCCATGAGCCATTGTAAAGCGGGTAAGTTGGTAACAGCATACTAATAACGATATATCTAAATTTAAACTAATTTCACTATATGCATAGCTATTAAAGAATTCCAAGATCAATACCCACGTTTATATAGTGAAATTTAAGTCACTGATGAAATACATCAACAATAATTCATGGAGAGATATCTATATTTTTTGCAAAAGTTATACACTAATCTAGATTCACTAAAAAGCTCGCAATTTTTTTCGATAAAACTGAAGATCTTCTGTTGCTTGTAAAAAAATTAACAGGTGAGGGAAAACTCAAGAGAATCATTAATTTTTGTAATAGGCGGTGAACCAACAAATGACGCTCACAGAATATTTTCGAAACTTAGTGATCAAGAAAAAATGACTTCTGATGATATGTTTGCCAAACAACTTGCAGTGGATAACGCTGATTTGAGGAATTCCTTAAGAATATGAAAATTGGAGAAAGAATACATTTTCCCAGATAGTAAAAACAATTTTGAATAACAATACATGTATTTCATCTATTGAACACGAATTCGATCCGAAAGAACGTGTTATCAAATTTGAACATATGAAAAGAATATGCGTAGAAAATATCCTGATGGTGAACTTTTTGTTGTTTTGGCTTTTGAAAAAAAATGGTAACTTATGTTTGAATTTAATTTATACGTGTAAAGCTCATATGAAATTCTTACCTGGGATTCTATTTTATTTCAAGATTATCGTCATACATACATGTATTATAAAATGCTGCATAAAATTGAAGCAACTCGTCCAACAAAATTACGAATTACACTTTTTCAAACTCAATTGAGTGAAAAAGATCGCTAGAACTCGAAAAAAACACATTTCACATACCTCAACTGCTTCTGCACTTATATAGAAGAAGTCCCGCAAATTTTATAGAAATTGACCCAGAGGTCTTTGAGCTCAGGTTAACATTCGTGTTATATAATTGTTAATGATAATTTTTTGACATGAATTATAATAATTAACGTTAATGATAACAAAAAGACATATCGCACAAGTGGGAAAAAATTTTTTACCAAAAAGCTAAAAATATATTTTGATAGTATTAGTCGTTTAGCAAAACAATATTCGATCAAAGTACAATTAAAAAAATTAATTCAGGCGAACATTTTATGATTTCGGTTAACGAGCTGAGAGGATTGATAGGAATTTATAGTAATGAATGTGGAGTGTTTATAATGTTTTGGCATTGAAATCACTAATTATTTAATTAATTATCTTTAATTGAATACATATACATTCAGCAAGATCAAAACAATTTGTATCTTCATTATCGTAACATTAAACTCCGTCAATGGTATAACAATGCGGTGCCAGATATTACACATTTCTTTTTCATAAAAAACACCGAGGATATATGCTTTGTCGAAAAAGACGGTCGCGCCCGTATTCAGTGAATGATTGCTTTCTTCCAGGGATCATACAAATTTCGCCTGATGCTACAAGTGTTCGTAATAAACCAGATGGCACATGCATCGTAGCCTTTGTTAGAGAAGAAATTATTATTGCGATATCAAGTCAGCTTGACGAAAAGCTTAAGAAGCAAGGTAAAGAAGTTTAATAATGAAAACACTTTGCAAGCACGTGATTTTATATTGACTCACTTTACAGCAGCAAAGTTAGTTCGAGGTTACGTGTATTTTTGCGAAAATTTAGTGAAATGCCAACAAAATTTTCGACACTACTTTCACTGAATCACACGAAATATTTCAATTTTCATGTCTAAAAATCGTCAAATGCATTTGACTACGATTGATCGAGAAAAAGGCACTTTTAATTCAGTCATAATAAGAATTACTCACGCAAAAACGCAATATCGCTTTGAAATACAATCACAGCAAAAATCTCTTGGTAAAATTAAAATGGAAAGTAAGCAACCATTTGTTTTTGGAAATGAGACACACTTTATTCGCGACATTCATGTAGGGGTGATTGGAACTAAAAAAACAAGTAATCGAAACTTTAACCGATAAAAAATTAAAAATACCCAACCAATTTGTTAACCTCAAATATGGGAAAGAATTTAGCATTGAGACACAAAAAACGGTTAATGGACTTCTCGATGTTACTAAATCGTATTTCACAAAATATGCAGTGACAAGTCCAAATAGGTCGCGTAGATTAACCTTTGACACTTACAGTCGTAGTAGATAATTCAACCAGTAACTTGGAGATAAAAATATATTGAATAAATGTTTGCGAAATTCGCGAAAGAAACGAAAAGCCTCTTGGTCATTTGAAAACTTTAATACAAGAATTACGATATTTCAGGACATCAGATAATTTTCACTTATCAATTTGGCGAGTAAGTACATCGACATGTATTTTTCTTGATACATGTATAATACAAAATAGATAAGACACACAGATGGATGATCGACTAATTCCACTGCAAATTGCTGTAGCCCGTGATAATAATAAATTTATTCCACTTCAGGATGGTTTCTTTTCTTCTGAGATAGAAAATCCATCATTAGATGAAGACTTTAATTTTATCGGAAGTGTCAGCAGAGCTATCTCTTTAGGATGGTACGAAGCTATTTTTGAGCATTATGCTCATTTAGAAGTCAAAGTGATTTCTTCGATGGGCGAACAATCATGCGGTATGATACATGTCATAGAGCTTATGATGAATAATAACTTGATATATAATAAAGGTTATTATGGGTTGGTGCAAAAAGATTTGTACCTCAATTAAATACGACAGAATTAAAATTTTATTTTGAAAAAATAATTTATTAATATTTATCTAAGTTATTAGATATTGGGATTTATTTAAGTGTAAGAATTTTTATTATGTATCTTTTATAAAAAAT